ATTCAGGTCAGAACGCACCTCAGGAGAAGCCTAAGGAGTAGCGCAAGCGGTACCTCAGCATGGCAGGGTCGTGTGGTGACGACACCTGCGTTGGTTTCTGAAACCGCGCGGGCCTTTCAACCATGAACGATCAGTGGGTTTTCGACCTCCAGATCGTTCCATATCGCCTGATTCTGGTTCACTGGCGGCGCTTCACTTTGACCGCCCGCGCTGGGGTCGCCGCCGCGTCGACACGACACGAATCTACCGTATGGTGGCCTCGCTCTCGCCTTGTTGGGCCTCCTGGGCGGCCCTCGTCGCCACGGCTGGATGCGCCTCGAATTCTGATCAGGACGCACCCCAGGAGAGGTCCGGGAGTAGAGGTGGCCATATATCTCGGGCCCAGAGCCGTCCTCAAAGACGCGGATCACGGGGAGGATTGAGTCGGGAATCCCTGAGAGCCAGCGGGTTTGGAGGATGCCTCGGGCGCCGCGGCCGCTCCGGAGCGCACCAGAATTGCTCGTGGAGCGTTCAAGAACGTTCTGCGATTGATCCTCAACCTAGACCTGCCTCTTCCTCGTCGTCTCCGCCACACTGGTCCGCTCTGGAGACCCTGAGCCCAAAAAACGTTTCCATCTATTGGGGGCACATGTTTACTTCCGCCGGCTTCTGCCAACCTTCTGCTGGCGGACTGGTATATTCTTACTGCCGTTGGCTTCCGCCAGCCTTCCCTTCCGCTGGCGTCCGCCAGGGAAGAGACGTCATCCTCTCGATACTTGAAAGGCGAGGCCCTGTCAGGAACACACCATAAGCACACAGACATCCCCAAGAGACTGTTCCAGAGGCCTCAGGAGAGGTTGGCGGTGTATAAAGCCACGAAGAGCCAACGAATCAGTACACCGCCACCATCCCTGAAGGCAAAAGAAAAATGCACGGGGGGGTGTCTGCACATAGATTTGTGGGGCTTTTTGTCCCCAGACATCATCATCATCATCATCCTCCTTCCTCACCCCCTCCCTCCCTTCCTCCATTCCTCCCTTCCTCCCATCCTCCCCTCCTCCCCGCCTCCCCTCCCCTCCTCCCTTCCTCCCTCCCTCCCTCCTCCCTCCTCCCTCCTCCCTCCTCCCTCCTCCCTGCTCCCTCCTCGCTCCTCCCTCCTCCCTGCTCCCTCCTCCCTCCTACCTCCAACCTCCTCCATGGGGGGAAGGTTCCTTAGAAAGAGGATGCTTCTTAAAGGCGACGGCCCTACATCTACAGACAAGGCCCGCGCCTTCTGAGAAGCAGTCTCCTTCTAAGAAGCCTTCCCCCGTCCCCCGTTCCCCCCTCGTGCGCGCCGCTAACGAGGATCGAGGATCGAGGATCGGGGTTTGAGGCTCGAGGGGCAGGCCCGAGGTTCGAGAGCGAGTGCTCGAGGCTCAAGGTTCGAGGATCGATGCTTGAGGTTCGAGGGGCAGGATCGAGGTTCAAAGTTCGAGGATGGAAGGTCGAGGACCTGGGCGGAGTCCTCCTACGCGTGGCCGAAAATCGCCTCCTGAGAGCACCCCTGATGTGGGCTCTCCTCCGAAGCTCGGCGCTCGGCGCTCGTCGATCGTGGCTGGCGGCCAGCCGGCAGCGAGCGGGGCGGCGCGGGCGGCACCACGGCCTCACGCAGGACGTCACCGCCGCGACGGCGGCCACGACCGCCGCGGTGGCGGCCAAGCGGCGCGGGCGGGAGGCGGCGGCCAGCGGGCCCCCAGCGGCGCTGGCGAACCTGGGGCGTCATCGTCAACGTCGTCGTCGTCGTGGTCGTCGTCGCCGTCAACGTCGTCGTCGTCGTCACCGTCAACGTCGTCGTCGACGTCGCCGTCAACGTCGTCGTCGCCGTCGACGTCGTCGCCGTCATCGCCGTCGGCGCCGTCAGCGTCGTCGTCGTGGTCGCCGTCAACGTCGTCGTCGCCGTCAACGTCGTCGCCGTCGTCGTCGACGTCGTCGTCAACGTCGTCGTCGTCGTCGTCGCCGTCAACGTCGTCGTAGTCGTCACCGTCAACGTTGTCGTCGTCGACGTCAACGCAATCATCGTCCTCACCGTCAACGTCGTCGTCGTCGTCAACGTCATCGTCGACGTCGTCGCCGTCAACGTCGTCGTAGTCGTCGCCGTCAACGCCGTCGTCGTCGTCATCGCCTTCAACGCCGTCGTCGTCGTCGCCGTCGTCGTTGTCGTCGTCGCCGTCAACGTCGTCGTCATCAGCGTCGCCATCAAGGTCATCGCCATCGTCGCCGTCATCGTCGTCGTCGTCGCCGTCAGCATCGTCGTCGTCGTCGTCGCCGTCAACGTCGTCGTCGTCGGCGTCGCCGTCAACTTTGTCGCCGTCGTCATTGTCGCCTTCAACCTCGTTGTCGTCGTCGCCGTCAACATCGTCATCGTCGTCGCCGTCAACGTCGTCGCCGTCGTCTGCAGTCGTCGTCGTCATCGTCGTCGTCGTCTTCGTCTGCGGTCCTCATCGTCGTCGTCGCCGTCTTCGTCGTCGTCGCCGTCGTCGTCTGCGGTCGTCGTCATCGTCGTCCCCAAGCCCTCAAGGTCTTGAGCAGAATCAAGAAAGGAAGCTTCCGTCGCGTTCGACCTCTGGGGCCCTCGACGGCCCCAGAACCGTCAAACACGGCTGAGGACAAACAAAAATGGGGAGAGGAGAGAGGGTCGGGACTTCTGGGGCCCCCATATTCAAAAAATCAAAACCTCGGATATATAGGTCGTCGTCGTTGTCGTGGCCAGTACCGTCGCGGAAGGAGGAGGAGGTGGACCAGTACAAACCCAAGACTATATTTATTCACTGCGGGAAGAGCCCCGTTGGAAGACAACCGCTTGAAGATCTTCTACCGTGCCACAACACCATTCCTGGGACTTCAACGCCGCGAATCAACGTTACTGTTGCGACCTAGCGATCCTCAATCGCACCAGAACACCATTTTCTGGGAGGTTAACACCGCGAATCAACGTGAAAATCGAGACATGTCAATCTCAAATCGTGCCGAGACTTCAGCTCTGGGACGTGAACCATAAGAACCCTCGAAACTGCTGTAAACTGTTAAGACGCATGAACCACATTTTTACCTAACAGCGAAGACTGATAGGTTTCTAGTAGCGTCAAAAGAGAGCATCATGACTCCCCAGGGGGGTCTGGGCGGGATCCGGACGGGATCCGGGGGAATCCGGGGACTCCTTTTTTAGCCAACAGTAACGCACTTCGTGGTCTTCGAAATCCCAGAACTCCATTCCTGGGCATGATTTTGAATGCCCGGAGCCAGCTGTAGGCCACTTCGTGTTCTTCGAGTTCCCAGAACTCCATTCCCGGGCCACATTTTGAATGCTGAGGCAGGCTGATGCTGAGGCTGAGGCAGGCTGATGCTGAGGCAGGCTGAGGCTGAGGCTGAGGCTGTTGCAGGCTGAGGCTGAGGCAGACTGAGGCTGAGGCCGAGGCTGGCTGAGGACTGAGGCTGAGGCTGAAGCAGGCTGAGGCTGAGGCTGAGGCTGAGGCAGGCTGAGGCTGAAGCTGAGGCAGGCTGATGCTTAGGGAGGCTGAGGCTGAGGCTGAGGCTGATGCAGGCTGAGGCTGAGGCAGGCTGAGGCTGAGGCCGAGGCTGAAGGCAGACTGAGGCTGAGGCTGAGGCTGAGGCTGAGGCTGAGGCTGAGGCAGGCTGAGGCTGAGGCTGAGGCAGGCTGAGGCTGAGGCTGAGGCTGAGGCTGAGGCAGGCTGAGGCTGAGGCCGAGGCTGCAGGCAGACTGAGGCTGGCTGAAGCAGGCTGAGGCTGAGGCTGAGGCAGGCTGAGGCTGAGGCTGAGGCAGGCTGATGCTGAGGCAGGCTGAGGCTGAGGCTGAGGCTGATGCAGGCTGAGGCTGAGGCAGGCTGAGGCTGAGGCCGAGGCTGAGGCAGACTGAGGCTGAGGCTGAAAGGCTGAGGCTGAGGCTGAGGCTGAGGCAGGCTGAGGCTGAGGCTGAGGCAGGCTGATGCTGAGGCAGGCTGAGGCTGATGCTGAGGCTGATGCAGGCTGAGGCTGAGGCAGCCTGAGGCTGAAGTCGAGGCCGAAGGCGGACTGAGGCTGAGGCTGAAGCAGGCTGAGGCTGTGGCTGAGGCAGACGCTGAGGCTGAGGCTGAGGCAGGCTGAGGCTGAGGCAGACTGAGGCTGAGGCTGAGGCTCATGCAGGCTGAGGCTGAGGCAGGCTAAGGATAAGGCTGGGGCTGAAGACAGACTGATGCTGAGGCTGAAGCAGGCTGAGGCTGAGGCTGAGGCAGGCTGAGGCTGAGGCTGAAGCAGGCTGAGGCTGAGGCAGGCTGAGGCTGAGGCTGAGGCTGATGCAGGCTGAGGCTGAGGCAGGCTGAGGCTGAGGCCGAGGCTGAAGGCATATTGAGGCTGAGGCTGAAGCAGGCTGAGGCTGAGGCTGAGGCAGGCTGAGGCTGAGGCTGAGGCAGGCTGGCTGAGGCAGGCTGAGGCTGAGGCCGAGGCTGAGGCAGAGGCTGAGGCTGAGGCCAGGCTGAGGCTGAGGCTGAGGCAGGCTGAGGCTGAGGCTGAGGCTGAGGCAGGCTGAGGCTGAGGCAGGCTGAGGCTGAGGCCGAGGCCGACGGCAGACTGAGGCTGAGGCTGAGGCTGAGGCTGAGGCTGAGGCTGAGGCTGAGGGCTGAGGCGCAGGCTGAGGCTGAGGCAGAGGCTGGAGGCTAAGGCGAGGCAGCTGAGTGAGGCTGAGGCTGAGGCTGAGGCTGCAGGCAGGCTGAGGCAGGCTGAGGCTGAGGCCGAGGCTGAAGGCAGACTGAGGCTGAGGCTGAAGCAGCTGAGGCTGAGGCTGCAGGCTGAGGCTGAGGCTGAGGCTGAGGCAGGCTGATGCTGAGGCAGGCTGAGGCTGAGGCTGAGGCTGATGCAGGCTGAGGCTGAGGCTGAGGCTGAGCTGAGGCCGACAGAAGCACTGAGGCTGAGGCTGAAGCAGGCTGAGGCTGAGGCTGAGGCAGGCTGAGGCTGAGGCTGAGGCAGGCTGATGCTGAGGCAGGCTGAGGCTGAGGCTGAGGCTGATGTAGGCTGAGGCTGAGGCAGGCTGAGGCTGAGGCCGAGGCTGAAGGCAGACTGATGCTGAGGCTGAAGCAGGCTGAGGCTGAGGCAGGCTGAGGCTGAGGCTGAGGCAGGCTGAGGCTGAGGCTGTGACTGCGACTGCCGTTGCCACTGCGACTGTCATCGCGAATGCGACTACGACTGCGAGAACTGCAGAATTCTACAACTGGATTCTCATCTGGATCTTAAGGGGAATGCTTCCAGATATGCTCCTACACATCGCTGTTAGGTTGCTTTGCCGGGATAATTACCTAACAGCGAAGACTGTTAGGTTTCTAGTGGTCTCAACAGAAGGCATCATGACTCCCCAGGGGGGTCTCGGCAAATGCCGGACGGGTGCCCCGGGAATCCCGGGACTCCTTTTTTAGCAAACAGGAGCGCACTTCGTGGTCTTCGAGGTCCCAGAACTCCATTCCTGGGCATGATTTTGAGTGCCCCGAGCCAACTGTAGGCCACTTCGTGGTCTTCGAGTTCCCAGAACTCCATTCCTGGGCATGATTTTGAATGCCTGGAGCCAACCGTAGGCCACTTCGTGGTCTTCGAATTCCCAGAACTCCATTCCTGGGCATGATTTCGAATGCCCGGAGCCATCAGTAGGCCACTTCGTGGTCTTCGAGTTCCCAGAACTCCATTCCTGGGCATGATTAAAAATACCCAGAGCCAACTGTAGGCACCCTCGTGTTCTTCGAGTTCCCAGAACTCCATTCCTGGGCGACATGTTGAATGCTGATGCAGGCTGAGGCTGAGGCTGATGCAGGCTGAGGCTGAGGCAGGCTGAGGCTGAGGCCGAGGCTGAAGGCAGACTGAGGCTGAGGCTGAAGCAGGCTGAGGCTGAGGCTGAGGCTGAGGCTGAGAGGCAGGCTGAGGCTGAGGCTGAGGCAGGCTGAGGCTGATGCAGGCTGAGGCTGAGGCAGGCTGAGGCTGAGGCTGATACAGGCTGAGGCTGAGGCAGCCTGAAGCTGAAGCCGAGGCTGAAGGCGGACTGAGCATGAGGCAGCCTCAGGCTGAGGCTGAGGCTGAGGCTGAGGCCGAGGCTGAAGGCAGACTGAGGCTGAGGCTGAAGCAGGCTGAGGCTGAGGCTGAGGCTGAGGCTGAGAGGCAGGCTGAGGCTGAGGCTGAGGCAGGCTGAGGCTGATGCAGGCTGAGGCTGAGGCAGGCTAAGGCTGAGGCTGATACAGGCTGAGGCTGAGGCAGCCTCAGGCTGAGGCTGAGGCTGAGGCCGAGGCCGAGGCTGCAGGCAGGCTGAGGCTGAGGCTGAAGCAGGCTGAGGCTGATGCTGAGACAGGCTGAGGCTGCGGCTGAGCCTGATGCAAGCTGAGGCTCAGGCAGGCTGAGGCTGAGGCCGAGACTGAAAGCAGACTGAGGCTGAGGCTGACGCAGGCTGAGGCTGAGGCTGAAGCAGGCTGAGGCTGAGGCTGAGGCAGGCTGATGCTGAGGCAGACTGAGGCTGAGGCTGAGGCTGAAGCAGGCTGAGGCTGAGGCAGGCTGAGGCTGAGGCCGAGGCTGAAGGCAGACTGATGCTGAGGCTGAGGCAGGCTGAGGCTGAGGCTGAGGCAGGCTGAGGCTGAGGCTGAGGCGGCAGGCTGATGCTGAGGCTGAGGCAGGCTGAGGCTGAGGCTGAGGCAGGCTGAGGCAGAGGCTAAGGCAGGCTGATGCTGAGGCAGACTGAGGCTGAGG